CCCCCGCTGGGGCCTCCCCGCACCACAGTCCGGCCTGGGCCTCGACCCCCCGGGGGCCTCCCCACACTGTGACCCCGGCCTCCACCCCCCAGGGGCCTCCCCGCACCACAGTCCGGCCTGGGCCTCGACCCCCAGGGGCCTCCCCACTCCATGGCCTGGACTCGACCCCAGTCCGTGGAAGGCTCCTCTAGGAGAGGCCACGGGGGCCGGACGGGGCCCCGCTCTGCGGAGGCTGGCATTGAAGGGAGCCCCCAGAGCCATTTCGCCCACCTTTGGCCCTGCAGTCGCGTTTCGAGGGGCCCAAGGGACCGCAGAGCCTCCTGGCGCCAGGGGGTCACAAACCCAACTGCCTCCTCCGCGGCCGGAACCTTCCTGCATCTTCGCAGCGCACATTCTAAGACCCTGTTTAAACGCTTCTGACGTCTTACAACACGCTCAATTTTCCCGCCAAACATAAATTGTTCAAATACGCAATATTGTTTATCAAAGATTTCCCCTTTCAGGCTAAACAACTGCTTTTAGGCTGTCACCTTGCTGTCTTTGGGTTCATCATTGCCTGATGGCCAGAAGAGACCATCCACACCGTCGCGCGTCAGGACGCTCTCTGGATCACTGACAAGCGCATCACTTCACGGATGGTAACACCGGAGCCCTGGCTGATGTTTGTAACACAGTCGTGCTGCTTCACATCAGGCTTCGGCATGAGTAAAGTGGTTTACGTTTTGCTAGATTATTATACCTGTCAGCTAGGAGGAAGCACTTAGTGCAATTACTACACTTACATAATATTTTAGGGCAATTTACAAGGCAGAGTACAGCAACACTGCTTGCACATACAAGAATGGGAAATTGCCTGGTAATAGGAAAAACAGTACCGTTGATTTGGCTTTTTGAGCACCCCTGAGAAGAGCAATCACTGGCTCTGCAACACTCACTGGTTACTTCCTGCAGTCTAGTGAGAAAGAAGATGCTTGCACTCTTATTTGCCCCGTGAAGAACTGCAGAGCACAGGAAAGGTTTATTTCAGTAGGCCTATTTTCTACTCCCCCAAGACAGTCAGGCAGGCAGACTTCAGCACTGATGATTCTGTAAGCTGCAGCAGCAGCAACCACCCCCTCATCCCTTCCCACTATGAGCCTAGAAACTATGAGCCTACGTGCCTAGAAACGTCCAGAGCTAGTGACGGCCTTTCTCCCTTTCACAGCACTAAAAAGGCAGTCAGTTTTCCAAATTTGATTGAAATGGAAGTCTCAAGAAGAAAAAATAAATTAAAAAAAAAAAACACACAGAGAAGGCAACAGTGCTGAGCAGCTGCTCCCAAGAATGAGGAAAGCAGTGAGAAACACAGGAAGCGGCACATGGCCAGGCCTTAGGCAACATCCAGGTCGAGTTTACTCACAGTCTGGATGTGAAGCAGAGGCCACTCTCGGAGCAGCCCCAGCGGAGATCGAGCCGTCCAGCACGGCTGGTTCCTCCCCCTCTCGTCCCCTCACAGCATCAGTCAGCTGCCGCCCGGAGCTCCGCGTGCGCTGGTTTGGTCTAGTGCCCTCTCCCTGCCTCGCTCATTCAGACACCTCCTGCAGGGATCAAAATAGCCCTTCCAAAAAGAAGGAGCCCCACAGTATCAAGGACGTCCTTTTTTCAGCTTTTTTTCATAGCAAGCACAAGTGCTTTGCACTGCCAGATCTTCACATGAGCAGGCTGCCAGAAGCCAAAAACAGTGAATCCTTAAAGAAAGAGGCTGTCTCAAGATTTGAGCACTTGCAATTTATCTGGCACTAAGTATTACCAAGCAGTAAATAAATTTGCCATTAAATAATAACAATAATTTTTTAAAAAGCTTTAATATATTACAGTAAACCAATAACTGGCCCAGTATAAATAATCAGCATGGATAATTTAAAATAAATAATGTATGATTCAAAAAACTTCTGTTTAAAAGCAAAATATCACCTCTAAGGGAATGGAGTTTGTTTTTACTCTACGTCATGCTCAAAGTCCCAGATTATTATCAAATCAGTAGTAGTATGCATCTTTGCTTGAAAAATCATTAGTCAAGTATGAGCTTTAATTTTCAGTCTAGACTGCAGAAGCCAGAGGCAGTTTGGTAAGTTCAGAACAATGAAACACTAAGAAGAGTTTAATGCCAACATGAGCTTTACAACTCAGCTATTGGCCAAGACAAAATGGACTTTTTGGCTAGCAGCTCTTCCCAATGAAGACTGCTTTCCAGCCAACCGTTCTTCTAAGCAAAATGTTTTAAATGCATCACAAATAATGCTTTATGTCATGCTTCAGATCAGCCCAGCATTTACCTGGGAATCCTCACAGCAGTCTGTGAGGTAGATAAGCATCACCCCTCATTTTATAGGTTGGGGGAAAACAAACCCAAAAGCAGAGACTAAGTTCCCTGCTGAAACTGCACAAATATGACACTGTCAGCATTAGAACGAAATGGAGGCTAGCTGGAGTACCAGCCCCATGCGTAGTCCATTTTGGCTCATTTTTAATTGCTAACACTGGCCTACAGTTTACGGGCCTCCTTGCAAGATCCCAATTAAAAACCTAAAAAAGGTTTACTAATGCCAGTCGTAGATGAAGAGGTGCTACAGCTAGGACAGGCAGACCTGGATATAGAAACATCAAGTGCTAAAGGTGACTGGTCAATCACAGCGCTCAGAGCAGGGGATAAAACATGAAAATCAGTAATCTCTAGTCAAGCAGATCCAGGGCCCTCCAGCAATGAGCAGGACCTGACAAGCCCACTGGCGCCTTACTGTCCGGCTTAGGTCCTGCAACTGAAGCTTCCTTAGAACAGACTGCTCTGTTTGAAGCACTTAAGGAATTTAGGAACGGAAGCAGTGAGTGCTAGTCAATGGGTTTGACTTTCGCAACAAACAAGGCCGTGGCTTTCTTCAGGAACTCCTCCCTGCTCATGGAGACGCTCAGCTTCCTCTCCTGCAGCGCTCGGTCCATGGCCAAAGCCAAACAGTCCGGGCCCAGCTTGGAGCCGGCCTCCAGGTAGCGGATGGGCACAGAGAAGTCGCTGGCCCCGAGCGCGTCTTCCAGCGTGCGCAGGACGGCCTGGCAGACGCGCTTGTCCGCCGGGCCGGAGCC